AAAAAAAAAAAAAAAAAAAAAAAAATTAAGCGAAGAAATAAAATATCAAAATTAGTGGGAATAATCAATTTTCTCTCAACGGAATTATTATTATTTATATTTAGATGGATATCTTAAATAAACTAAAATATAAATTAAGAAATTATTATATATTATATATTATAATATATAATAATTTCTTAATTTAACTTGGAAGGTACTAATTCATAAATTAATAATAATTGGGGACTAAAATCGTAATTTCCGAGAGTAATAATATGTAGAAGGAATGGATTATATGGACCCAGTTCAAAGAGGAGAGAACCCTAGGCTCGTCGCTCCTCTCTGAAAAACCCGACAACTCGAATATGGTGAGGATTTTCTTCCTTGGTTTTTCTGTTCCTAACGACGAATCTATAGCGTGTGGTGTTATAATTTGTTCGTAGTTTCTGTCCTGCGAATTGTTCTTTAATTCTATGTCTTCTTTCTTATTTGTTCTGTAGCCGTTCAAGAGGTACGTCGAGATCGGGAGGGTCGCTCTTGTAAACTACGGCGAAGACTATGGAAAGCTCGTTGTCATTGTCGATGTCATTGACCAGAACAGAGTACGTTTTTCTTGCTATTACTTGTGATTTTTATCGATGAGCAGTAATTTATAGTTTGAAGTTGTATCCGTCGTCTTGGATGTTTGGAAGACAAGGAAACAAGAAGACATATATTTAACAGGACACAATGCTTGGTTCTATTTGGAACGTATTCCTATAGCTATGGATTGATTTCTTCTGAATTTGATGTTTGTGTCATGATCTTAACATACATGTCTCATCAATTCCGCAATTTATTATCTATGAAAATCATTCTATGGCTTCTACCGCCCTGATGGTAAATTGGGAAGGTTTTTTTGTAAATATTATGGAGTAAATTTCAATCATCAATGAAATTGTCACTTATATATAATTGTCACTTATATATGTATAAACATTTTGTAGCTTCTTCAAGTTTGAAGTGTTAACTAGTGAACAATCTATTGCATTTCTTATTTAACGTCATGCTTATTGATTAGGTCATTAAGTAGTTGTCATTAAAGCGTTAGTGGGGTTGAGGATGCATATTATCACTGATAGATGATTAAATTTGTAATAGTCCAAGCCCGCAAGCAGATATTGACCTCTTTGGACTTTCCTTTTCGGGCTTCCATTCAAGGTTTTTAAAACGCGTCTACTAAGGAGAGGTTTCCACACCCTTATAAGGAATGCTTTGTTTCCCTCTCCCACCGATATGTGATCTCACAATTTACCCCCCTTGGGGTCCTAGTGTCCTCGTTGGCACTCCTCCTTGTGTCTGGCTCTTATACCATTGTAACAAAACAAGCTTACCGCTAGCATATATTGTCTTCTTCGGACTTTACCTTTCGGGCTTCCTCTCAATGTTTTTAAAATGCTTTTACTAGGGAGAAGTTTCCATACCCTTTTGAGGAATGTTTTGTTCCTCTCTCCAACCGACGTGGGATCTCACAAACTTCAAGGCTTGAACTGTTTCCTCTGACTGATTCTCCACCGACCCCTAATGGATGTTTGGCGGATACTTTAATTGTATGGTTGTTTGAAGTTTGGATGACTTAAGTTGTTTTTATCTCCCGAATGAATGTGACTATATATTGTCCAATTGTCCCTGTTTTGAAGAACAAAAAGGATTTTAATGGATTTTTCACATGTATCCATTTTTTGTTGTCATTTCCTGGTGATGAAGTTTTTGTTTCAATATTTGATTAGTTGCTTCCAACATTATCTTAGCTCCGCTATTAAAGCATCTCTACTTCCTCTTTAAGAGGTTTGTACTGCATCATTCTCAAAAAACGCTTTGGTTAGTTGCTCATTCTATCATTTCATTAATGCTACTATATACAGGCTTTGGTGGATGCTCCTGATATGGTCAGGTCTCAAATGAACTTCAAGAGACTTTCTCTTACCGACATTAAAATTGACATTAAGAGAGTTCCTAGGAAGAAGGAACTCATTGAAGCTATGAAGGCTGCAGGTATGCTATTCATTTTTCAACTTATTTCGCTATCAAATACCCAATTCCTTTCTACCAACCCCGTCCCCCCTTGTCGTCATCTTTGTTTTCTGTAAGTTTAACCCGTTGCCTCGATCATGTTAGATGTTCAAAAAAAGTGGGAGGATAGCTCTTGGGGGAGAAAACTGCTTGTCAAGAAAAGGAGGGCAGCTCTTAATGATTTTGATAGGTTCAAGCTAATGTTGGCCAAGATAAAGGTCTGCACTTCCTGTTGTATACTTTTTAGCCCTTTCTTATGCTCTAGTACGTGTAGGAGTTCCAAATCCTCATGGATTCCCAATACAAGTTCGACTTTACTAACGATGGGCATTACCATTTTGCAGAGAGGTGGATTGGTCAGGCAAGAGCTTGCAAAACTGAAAAAGAGTGAAGCTTAGAGTAATCGCATTTCTTCTATAGCTTCAAATTTTGTTAGAGAACAATTTATGAGGTGTGGATTGTTATCCCTTGTGTTCCTCCAGCCCTTGAGAGTTGGGGGTGTATCTGAAGTACATGTAAGTTTTGGACATCAAGTTTAGTGAGTTGTTATACAGAGTTGGGTTAATCCCAATGTGCCAACATTAGTCGAATTTAATTAATATATATATACCGTCAAATGGACTATATATATATATATATATATATTTTGTTAGGAATCACGACTCTCCACGATGGTATGATATTGTTCACTTTGAGCATAAGCTCTCATGGCTTTGCTTTTAGCATCTTCAAAAAGTCTCATATCAATGGAGTCAAAAAGTCTCATATCAATGGAGTCAAAAAGTCTCATATCAATGGAGATAGTATTCCTTCTTCTAAATTATCGAAGGTGGGACTCACTCTCAATAATCCTCAAAATATATATAATATATATATATATATTTTTAAATTTATTTATTATTGTAGGAATTCTGCCTAACACAAGCACCCCACTTGGGTAGGGGGTGTTTCTCTAAATTATCAATTGAAAAAGGAACTTGAAAAAATATAGTCTTATATTATAAATTCAATTCATTTTTGTTAAATTACAATATGTATAAATATATAATGTAATTATGTGATATCATACAATAATAATTATGCAAATTCTATAAAAGAATAAATAATAATAGTTTGTATTCAATCCAATCTTTAGTGGATAACTATGAGTAATTAATGATTTTTTAATATATATCAAATATATTTTGTTTGTATTAATTTTTTTAAAAAAAAATTGGCTACAAAACACACAATTGTGGTTGTTTTTCACTATTTTATAATCATATTTCTAAATTGGTTTATTTTTTTTTAACATATTCTTAAAATATATACCATAAATAAAAGTAAACAGATTGAAGTAATATTTATACTCTTAGTTAAAAAAAAAAAAAAAGGAAAAAAAAAAGGATTATCAAAACTGGGAAGGACTAAATCGTAAATTTCAAGTTATAATGAGTTGGCTTTTGTATCGAAAGAATTATTTGGAACTACAGAGGAATAGAAAAAAAACCCTAGTTTCGACATCGGCACTGTAAACCCTAGTTTCTTCTTTCGCCCTTCTCTGAAACCCCTTGCACGCCGAAGATGGTAAGCATTCCTGTCCTTCGTTTTGCTCTTTCTAACTACGATTCTACAGTTTTTGGTGGCATGATTTTCTTCCTTCTTTCTGAATTTTGCGTTCTTTTAATGGTTCTGTAGCCGTTCAAGAGGTACGTTGAGATCGGAAGAGTCGCTCTTGTCAACTACGGTGAAGACTACGGAAAGCTTGTCGTCATTGTCGATGTTATTGACCAGAACAGAGTATGTTCTTTTTTTTGCTATTGCGTGTGATGTTCATCGATAATTGCTAGTTTCAGTTTGAAGTTGTACGTACCAATTTTCTTGGAGGAAAGCCCCGGGAAAACTTAGCATTTCTGTTTCCCGACTCTTTGTAGACAAGATTTGGTTAGTTGTTTGTTCTATCATTTTATTAATGCAACTGCATACAGGCTTTGGTGGATGCTCCTGATATGGTCAGGTCTCAAATGAACTTTAAGAGACTTTCTCTTACTGACATTAAAATTGACATTAAGAGGGTCCCTAGAAAGAAGGAACTCATTGAAGCTATGAAGGCTGCTGGTACGCTTCTTAATTTATTTTTCATGTACAAATACCCATTACTCCCTGCTTTTTGTGTTTTTTTGTTTGCTTTAATCTGTTGTTTTGATTGACCATGTCAGATGTTCAGAAAAAATGGGAGGATAGCTCTTGGGGGAGAAAACTACTCGTGAAGAAAAGAAGGGCATCACTTAATGATTTCGATAGGTTCAAGCTTATGTTGGCTAAGATAAAGGTCAGTGATAATTTGATGTAATCTGTAGTTTGTACTTTCTCTTGTTCGATTTGACCCTTTTCTTATGGCGTTGATGCATGAAAGAGTGCGAAAGAACTTTTGTTTTATTTATCATTTAACAGAAACTTTCTATTGTGCTGATCAGCCTTCTTTTCTTTGTTTGTTTGTTTTTTTTTTGGGTGTGCAGAGAGCTGGATTAGTGAGGCAAGAGCTTGCGAAGCTGAGAAAGAGTGAATCTTAGAAAGTGCATTCCTTTGGCTTCAAATTTTGTTGTGAGTTTAAGTTTATCAGGTTTGGATTGTTATCTCTTCTGTTTCTCTGGCCCTCAGGAGTTTGTGATTGTTTTGAGATGTATGGAATTTGTACTTCCAATAGTGAGATTTTACCTATCTTTACCACAAGATGCCTATATTACTCCAATTAAGCATGAATCTGAATCTGCTGAGTGCTGATGTTTCTCTGTTCAACTGTTAAATTGAATATCTGTGCCACTGAGTATGGTTTTGTTTTCTATTTGTTTTTTTGAAATTTTTTATGTCTGTCTTCCCTTGGGTGCCACTGCACTGTTGAAATATTTGATACCGTAGTTGTACTACAAAATGAACATTTCCTGTTATTCATACGTCCAAGTATGCTATCAAGCAGTCTTGGCTCGGCCTGCTTCATTTGCCTTAACTTTTACTTAAGTATCCTCTACAAAGGGTACCCTGTTTAGAAATATAGTTGCTAACAAAATCTTAATGTAGTATCAAATACTTCTATCTTCAATCTTCAATCTTCAATCTTCAATCTTCAATCTTCACATTTATTAGAAGCTTTTCCAAATCCTGCTCCTTCCAGACTGGTAGGACTTAACGCCACCAGCTTTGTGCAAACTTCATTCAGTAAACTTGTTGGTTTCTTTTCCTCATCCTCAGGGTCAAGTAGAGATTCATCCTCTTCGATTAGGGGACATTCCCAAAGTTGTTGTCCTTTGATAGTAAAGTTTTTTTCCGTAGAGTTGTTGTCATTTCCCTTTCTTCCCCAAATATGGCTTTCAAAGGCATCATCAGGGGATGGGGAGTTTTCAAAATTGTTTCCCTCATGTAAATCACTCCATGCGGGGCTCAAAGTAGTAGAATATGAACCAAATGATGAAGTTCTTGTTGATGCAAACGAAAAGCTTGGTGAAAAGTTGGGTGACAGTATTGATGATGACGTAGAAGGTGATGAACTACTACCAAATCCTTGAATTTCTCTCGTTATTTTCAGAGCTCTCAAACGTGATTCTTTTAAAGTCTGGCCTCCTTTCAGTAGTTGTAGTATCGATTGTGACTTTTTGTGCATGATTTCACCCCAGTCGAACCTATCATATCATTAGAAAATCAAATATCCCTTGAGAATGGCTGTTACTCTGATACTATTTACAATTCTGATTTGATTAAGTAATTTTTACCCCCTTTCATCTACATGCTTAAAAGTTCCAAGTGCTTCGATGATATATGAATCTCTCTTGAACTCGTCAGCTAACTCTTCTGGTCCGTGGGTTAACAAGAACTCAAGGAGTACCAGTGATTTGTAGGATTGTTTCCACTGCTTCCACTCAACACTACGAAGCCTGAAAATTGCAGTCACCAGAAGTATATGATAACACTTTTTTTTTTTTTTTTTTTTATATATATATAGGGATAGGGTTTTGGGTCCGTCACATTTAGAGAATTATTTCAAATGGGAGATTTACATTTGTTCTTTTCTTTGAAATACTCCTATAAATTCATCAAACATAGGCCAGCACTGTCACTTTTACTTACCGATTGTGAAGGACATCAACAATTCTCCAATAATCATCTATCTCAAAGGATGCCTCAGCTATGGTTGTCATCGTTTTAGCATCAGGGGTACATGGATCTTTGTTTGTTGCTTCCTCTGCCAACCTTGGAAATACAGGAAAGTACACACTAATTAGAATGAATGATGAATGATCTCGAAGGGTATACCCTCTAGATGAATGAATGATCTTTTGTATATCGAATATGTATTCACAAGAATTAGGAAAGTGCATTCCTGTTTAAAAGTTCTGTGATGAAACCTTTGTCAATTCTATCATGAAGGTTCGGCCATTTTAGATATTGGCAGAGAATGGAAGCCTCTAAAATTATGTGATCATTTATCTGTATGTTAAAGGAAGAATGCTTACAATTCTGCGTGGGTAACGTCAGTGAAGACGAGCCTGGCTACTTTGAATCTTTCATTAAGGAAAGAAAACGCTTGCTTCTTGAGCTGCTCTAGGGACATTCTTGCCTCTCAGCCCCAAAATCTTAAACCAATCTTCAAAGTTCGAACTGTTATTTGAAAACCTTTCTTGGTTGTTAATTAATTACAAAAGAAAACTTCTTGAAGTGGTGGTCTTCGGACATTGTTCAATTAGAGAGATTATTGTATGGACACCCTTGGGTTTAGCTCTGAAAATTGATACGAAGATATTCTAATAATAGAATTATGCCCTCCTTTTCTCTATCTTTAGGGGGGAAAACAAGACCACCAAATTGAAGTGGACTTCAATTCAATTCTTACAAAAGAAAAAAAAAAAGAAAAAAAAAAGCCTAATATGCTTTTGTAAGAACCTTGTGCATATAAGACAATAATTATCATCCACACAAAAAAAGGTTCAATTCGACTTTCTATCATGTAATTATTGTTCTAAAAAGATCAATTATATTTAGATTGAGTTGGAGATTTATGATAACTTAATTGCATAGAAATAAAGCAGCGATCTCTTTGGTGTAAGGGTGAAATATATTTTAGTTCATGAGATTTAGATTTGGTAGCTTTTGGTTATTTTAACTCAAAGTTTGTTAGATTTGGTAGCTTTTGGTTCTTGAGTTTATAAACTTGATATTTTAACTCAAAGTTTGAAAGAATAGTTTGTTTGGTATTGCTTTTTTGTTTCTTCTTCTTTTTTTAATAAATCATTTTCTCAAACTTTAATCCACTATAAAGATTCAAAGACCAATATGTTACTCAATCCAACTAAAAAGTATGATTATAAAATTGAGGTGGCAAAGGATAGGTTGTCACTCAAAAAAGTATTCGTAGCTTTGAAGGAGAACACTTACTTTCTCCATTTATAAACTTGAAGAAATGTTTTAGTTTTAGTTTTAATATTTTTAAATTTGGAGTTCAACTTGAAAATATGTGGCTGTTTATATGACCTGCATCAAAATTATGTATAATTATTTTTATTTATATATATATATATATATTTACGTTTAATCTTTTATTTAGAAAATAACATGAACTTCTTTAGAGAGAGTCAAATCCAAGTCTTCTGAACCACCAGAGCTACAGTTATTCTCATTATTGCCACGCCAAAGCCTGATTCTGTTGAACGTTAATACCGTCGGCGGTGGTTGGGCCAACAAGGGATGAAGCGGAAGCCAGTGGGCCATGTCGACGGCGCGCCGGAATAGCTTCTTAGAGACGGTGGCGGCATCGTCATGTAATCGTAAAGTGTCATTTGGGGTTTTCGAGAAGCAGAGGCTAGGCCATGGAAATAATTGGTCCATAACGGCGGCTGCTAAGAGCTTTCGGAGCAAGGAAATAATTGGTCCCAAAAGAAGCAAGCTCATTAGACAAGAAATGGTGCAATGGTGATTAAGAGTTTCAGAGACAAGAATCCCTTGGCCACAGAGCCCACAAGGGACACCGAAAATCGTGTTTTTCCGGCGACATGGCCGGCAAGATGTCTTGCGGGAGGTAAACAACAGCTCCTTGAATGATGGGTTCCAGCTAGATTTATCAAAGGGGGAGGACTTCCATGGGAAAGACAGAGGAGCTTTAAGGAGGAAGGCCATCGCAGAAATGAGAATGGAGATGGAAAGAAATGCAATTAATAGAGGTAGAGAAGAAGAAGAAGAATTATAAAGGGCATTGGGGAAGACAAGTTTTGAAGGACACAGCTTTGGCCACAAATGGATGTTTTTGTGTTATCTTAGCACGTAGTGAGTAAAAAAGAATAAACACGAAGAAACAACCATAAGAGAATTCTCTCTTTCTTTTGAGTTTAAAATCAAAATCATATACATTTCATATATGGTCAAAACAATTATTCAGCAAAACAATTACAAGAAGCAAACATAAGAACTAATATTAAATTTGCATATATAATAAAAGAGAAAGGAAATGGTCAAAACAAATGAATAGAGGACAGGAAAAACGATATTTGAGTTCCAGCAGGGTTCCGTCGCCTGGAAGGTATATTACAACTGTCTCAAATGTATTAACATCTTCCTACAACGAAACAAGCACCATTGTAACCAAGAAAATCCATGGAGGTTTCGCTTCCAACCAATGTTTCCGGTGGAGATTTCATTAAATTTTGTAGTGTGGATGAACCGAGCCAAACTAATGATCGATACACATATACATGATATAAAATACCGTAGGAGCTGGGGCATTTTACAGAAGATACATAGGGTGCTATATTGACCATTCACACGGTCACTAGTTACCCAGATAGATCTGTTTTTCCTTCTCATTTCCTCTTGCCAGTTCCAATAGACAACAGCTCAAAGCTCCGGAGCGTATCATCACGGCCACCTTTTGTAGTTGAAGAACGGTTAAGAGCAGTCGTTTTGGTCTCAAAACCAGGTTGAACCCTTTGGCCTGCAGATAGACGACTACTTGCTGACATCAGGCGACTTGATCGGATTTCACTTGGCTCCCCAGAGGAGCTTGGTCGACTGCTCGATAGAACAGGCCTCTTTGAAAGGCTTCCATTCCTATAGCTACTGCGGGCCCTTTCTGAATCAGGTTGCTGTGAGAGGGGTGGGAGAGAAAAAACATGTCATTTTATCAAAAGAAGGAAGCAGAAAAGTTGTACAGAAGCCCAAAAGAATAGTATGCAAAACAAAAGTTTGTTGAGATAAACGAAAATTGAAGATTAGTGCTTGGAACAGTACCACATCCTTGGAAGATGGTACATCATCAGATGATCTGTGTCTGGAATGATCACCATGCAAACCATGCCCACTGGCGTTCCTTCTTCCGAATGCCTCAGTTCCACCAGAGAATCTATCTCGAATATCTTGGCCCACTAGATGGCATAGGAAATAATATATCAATTTTTCAAAAGACTACCATTTCATCAGTTCTTTGTAGCATAAAATGGCTAGGAATCTCTATAACATGAAGAGAGAGCTCTCAAACCCCAATGCTCCAAAATGTTTCTCCCAACAAAAGAAAAATATATATCATATCAGTTGAAAGAAGACAATTGTTTTAAACCCCAATTCTCCAAAATGAACTACACCATTTGGCCTCTCTATTGCTGGCTTTGGGTTTCGTTGTTAGTCCGTTGTGCTGTCTTAACCAGGTATTTTTCTGATTTGATTTGAGTTCATGGGGGTATTGATGCTACATATAATTAAAGCTGGTTACTATTCTTTCATTTGAGTTTTTTACTGTCAACATTTTTTTTTTCCGGTAAGAGTCAATTTCATAAAAAATGGAAAGGCAACAGCCTAAAGGTCGGGGGTAGAGATCACCCCCACCCAAAAGAACTAATACAAAAAGCTATCCAATCAAGGATAACTAAAATCAACCTGATTATTTTTCTCTCCCTCTCTCTCTCCCCTCCGATTGACACAACCAAAGCCCCGTCCCTTGTATGCATGTAGATCATTAATAAAAAAACATGTTCTAACTGAGCCGTGGAAAAATGAAGTTTGGTAAGAAAGCCTCTCTCCAAGCACAGGTTAGCTATAGGAGGTAAAATACAGCCAATTCAGCAAATTATAGATTATCCTATCCTTCCTGAGTAAAGGAACGGACCTGGGTGCTTTTCCCCTCTTTCAGCAGATGGTCCTGGGGTGAGACCTGGTTTTCCACTGGGCTGCAGAGAAGCAACAATCGAAGAGTATATTAGGAGCAATTCACTTTTATTTTCCATCAATGGTCAACTATAATATAAGCATCCAAACAAGTAAAGTACAGACTCGTGGTTTCGAACTGGAGCCAATTTGTGGATATTTAAGTATAGTCCAGTCAAATACATAGTCAAATTGATATCCTGCAACAAAGACCAGTGTGATCCCATTAGTTAAACCCCTTGATGGAGTAATAAAAGGATTTCGACATGTACCCTGTGTGTATCAAGAATTCATTAATACAAGGGCAAGGATTTCGGACAGTTTTAAACGAACCTTCACGGATGAAAAGGTCTCGGAATAATCTCTTCAGATACGAATAGTCAGGTTTATCTTCAAACCTCAGTGACCGACAATAGTGGAAGTAGGATGTAAATTCTGATGGATATGATTTGCAGAGGACCTAGACACATGTAACCATGTCAAATACGTTCATAAAAAACTTCAAACAAATTCAATCACAATTTGTAAGGGACAAACTGGCATATGGCAAGCACACTGCTTGATACAATCACTTGTACTCACTGTTTGTGACTTCGCATTTATATTTTGTAAACGATAATATGCCACAGGAAGCTAGTAATAATACCTCTACTGGAGTAAGCATCTTCTTTTCACTGATCTTATCATATTTTTGCTTTTTAGTCCCTGCCTTCAGTCCTTGCCAAGGAAGGCTGAGAAAAAGATATATGAAGAACTCAGGTAAAAATCTGATGTGTCAAAGAGATATGAGTACCAAAAGCAAGCATCAAGTAATATGTGTGCAACCTTCCCCTGAGAAAATACATAAGCACGTAGCCCAGCGATTCTAAATCATCCCTCCTGCTTTGCTCTGCAGTCAAGTTAAGTAGTTTTATATAAAAGGAATATGGCTGACTTTGAACCAAAAAAAATGTTGAATGACAAAATATTTCCTCACCAACTCCAAGATGAGTATTGACACTTGCATAGCGAGCTGTTCCCGTGAGATTCTTATTTTCTCTGTCACAGAAGCAAGTGAGAGAACCCACCAACGTTAATTTCACAAATAGCATAAAGATCAACTCAAAAAATTCACCAAAAAATATTAGGAAACAATTATATCATAGATGCAAAATTATATCAAAAGAGGAGCATTCAGACCATAGTCAAGATTGTGCAAAGAAATACACAAAAAAAAAAAAGAAAAAAAAAGGGATTCCCAATTCATTAAACACTTGTTTGAATGATCTAGTCACTTCATCACTAGACTCATCATTGTACTGTATGACAAAGAGACATAAGCATGGAGCAGTTCAAATGTTGAAGGATAGAATAAGGTTATGAGGCATCTGTACTGATAAACAATTTGCTAACATATATCCACCTTCTCTACCTGTTCATAGCTACGCACGTTTAGGGGACTGAAAGCTGAAGCTTCATGACTCAATATGGTAGCAAGGAGTGTCAAGATTGGTAAAGGGACAATGCAGATAAAAGGCATGCCAGAGTCACAAAAAGGTAATAGATGATAAGTTACCTGTATGGTATATGCTTGTGTGTCTGAAGATCTCTGTACTTTTTTGCAAGACCATAGTCAATGATGTACACCTGTTCAAAAAAGCATG